GCATAAAATGGTTTGAGTTGAAAACATAGTAGAAACCGTCCAAATTGAACCGCTTTCACCCCTACCTTCATTTGCCGTTTTGATATGAACTGGACATCCAAAGAATACTATTATTTTTCGTATTTGCTTAATATACATTGAATGTATCAATTGAAATTATTTATTATAGTTACGCATTATGTCCTCCATTTACATTATCTCTATGTTAACCTTCATTGAATAAATCAATTGGAAGAAAACTCTAAAAATATTCACTTTTTGCTCCAATTTTTTAAGTAAATTTAAATTTACTATCCAACCAAGTAAAATGAATATGTCAAATGTACATTTATCATGACTAAATTATTGGCAAAATAATTAATGATAATATTGTTTCAAATGGTTCAAATAATTAAAATAAGTAAATACATATTGAAAAACAAAAAATATGGTATTATTGAAACAATTAATTACAGTTGTATTATTGAAAAAATTAAATTATATTAATGATAAAATCATCCAAAAAATTGATTTTCTCTTGATATGATATTCAATATATGGAAAAGTGACATAGGAGCTTACCTATTTCTTCGGCCAGGTTATAAATATAGCTAGTTAGATAGATGCATTCAATTGACTAGGCAAGAATTTAATAACTTAAAATGGGCAAATCGAAAAAAAAATAAGTTGAGTGCTCAAATTGAAACATAAATATAAAGAGTTACTAAATCGCAACAAATTGAATTTAGGAGACCGATATGAAATAAAGTTGTAATTTGAGGGACGAGTAGTGACATTTTCCTGCAAACCTGTTTTCCCTCCAAAGCCAACTTTAAACTGTTATACCCTAACAAACTTCTCTCTCTCTCTCTCTCTCTCTCTCTCTCTCTCTATACGTACATATATGAACAGACGTATTAAAACCTTCCTCGCACATATATGAACAGACGTATTGAAACCTGATTTTTATTTTTGGAACACAATCTTTGAAACCTGATTGAATACAAGACCTAACCTTTGCAAAAGAACGATGTATTCCTCTCCTGTGGGCACAGTCAATAACCCAATTTCACCAATGTTTTTCTATCCGAAACCCTTAATTAGATTGCCCACAAAATTTCCACTTCAAGAGTGTCGCAGAAATTTGCAGATTTCTTTAAGAAACCCCAAAAGACTGCATCTTTTCCACTGCCCACGAGCAATTTTGCGGAATCCCAATACAAATTCAGTGCCTTCTTTTGTAGAGAGCGACGACTTTGTTAATCGGGTTTTAAGGACAAATCCTAGCCGAGTGGAACCCAAGTATTTGACTGGGAATAGATTGTATACACAGAAAGAAAAGGACGATTTGAGGAAAAATGGTTTTGGTAACCGGTTTTTCAATACATTGAGGTGGTTGAATTCGAAGGTATTGATGAGTGAAAATGATAAAGAGAGTGACCAAGGAAATTTAATGAAGTCTGAAGAGGAGGTTTATTTGCCGGATATTTTGAGGGAATATAAAGGTAAACTTTATGTTCCTAAACAGGTTTTCGGTGCTAGTTTATCGGAAGAAAAGGAGTTTGATAAGAATATGGAAGAGTTGCCAAAACTGAGATATAATGATTTTCGGAAATACTTGAAGAGTGATCAAGTAAAGCTGTTGAGTTTTAAGGAGGATAGTGGGATTTCTTATGGTTATAGGGATTTTGTTGTGGATTTGAAAGAAACACCAGGAGGAAAGAGCTTTCGCAACGCTAAATGGTTAGTATTCACAAACTCATGGAAACTATTTTCTTTAAATTCTTTGCTGGTTTTGTTTTGTAACTCTTTCTTGATTTAGGGTGATGAAGCTGGATCAAAACCAGACGCAAGCTCTTTTGAAGGAGTACAAGGGGCCACGGTATAAAATTGAGAAGCATGTGATGGTATTGAACCTCATTTTTCTTTGTACTTTTGTTTTGGATAGAACTTGCATTGACAGGAGCAAAATAGAATGCAATGATGAATATGAATATAGGATGCAAGAAACCTTAAAAAAGTGCTTGAATGGCATTTAAGGTGGACCAATCTGGGTAATAATCAAATTTTA